AAGAAAATTTCATGAAGAGAAAGATGGGGCCAGGGAGTATCACTAAGCCTAATTCAAAGGCTGTTGGGAAGGAGGAGGAGAGTTGGAGGAGGAGGGATGCAAATAATGAACCCTAGAGGGACGACTCTGCTGTGACTATTTTAATGAGGCTTGAAGACTTTCAGCTCATTTGTCTTCTGCAGCTGGTGCATTTTAAGTGCTGTGAGCTAGAGAAAGTCTCCTTCCTGTACCCACCACCCATAGACTATCAAGGCTGCAAGAGTCTTTGAGATCCCACATCTAATCCCTTGTTTACCAGGGAAAACTGAGGCCTCCGGCAGGCAGGGCAAGGTCACACTGCAAGTTCATGGCAGAGTTAGTAGTAAAACCCAGATCCCTACTCAGGGCTCTTTCTCTGCCTCAGCTACCTACAGTGAAGGTATAGGAGCCAGCCTCACTGTGTGGGGATCAAAGGGGTACTGGAAGGAAGTGGTCCTCTGGTTATGATCTTGCCTTGTATAAGAGGCCTTGAGCATAGCGTGGCCTATACATAACATTTACAGCTGATGGGTGACTGGCAGGGACTCCTGGCCATACTGGGTTTCTGAGCTGTTTCATTTCTGGAATTTGGTGCACCTCTACTCCACCCAGGGCCCCCAACACCACTTTTAATATGTCTGAAGGCTCTTCCAGTGTCCCTTAATGTCTGGCAAAACTATCTAATTCAAGATGGTAGAAACAAGGGTGACATTTTACTATGGCCAATCCTCTATGGGCGCACAGGGCTATGAGTAGATGGACAAGGGAAGGCAAGAACCAGGCAGCCTCAGGGTTGAGGGACTGGTTGTAGGGATATATCTCCATAGGTTGGGAGTAGTCATAATTAATGGTAAAGTTAGATGACCAGCCCCTTAGGGACACAGCCAAAGCAAGAGAACCTTGGGTCTTGACTCACAGTGTTTTCATCCCAGGTTCTACCATCATATTGGGAGCTACCAAGTCCAGTTCCTTCATGCCCCAGTCTCTGAGTTTCTTGTTGTCTTCAACTCATTGAATGTCACCCATTCCCAGGGATCATCTCATCATTTGAAACTGTTCCACCTCTGCAATCTTAATCTCTCTGCACCTCCTATGCATTTGATCTCCCTCACCTCCACTATAGTTTTTCTAGTTTTTCTCCTTGCTCTGAATCAACTCTTGTTCCTATCCAATCTGGATCTGGTGATGTTTCACTTCAGCTGTTCACCATTCACAATCTGGCCCCTTAGTCTCCCACTCCAACCTTAGAACATGGTAAACGCCTGCCTTCTCTAGTCCTGGATGATGGGGGGATCCCTTCATGAATTGACATAAATCCAAATCCGTGGTCCACAGCCCCAAGTGAGCCCACAGCAGTGCCCCGTCACTCCAGTTACCCACACAGCTTTTTCCAAGCTCTCACACAATCCTCTAACTTTCTACACCTCAGCCTCCCCACTCATTCCCAGCAGTCAACCTAGACTCCTTCACGGAGAAAAGCAAACTTGTCAGGAGGAAATTCCTTCACCCTGCTCACGAAGTTCCAGACTTATCTGCATCCATGCCCATCTATGCCTCCGGCCCCATCATATTGTGAGATAGGTGTCCCTCTCCAAGCTAGCCACTCCACTTCACTTCCCCCACCACCCACCCATCCAGTACCTCGCTCTGTTGCTCATGCTCATTTCCTCTGTGTTGGTTTCCTAGGGCTGCCATAACAAAATGCCACAAAGTGGGTAACTTAAAAGAACAGAAATTTATTTTTTTCACCATTCTCAAGGTTAGAAGTCCAAATTCAGGGAATCCGTAGAGCTATGCTATGTCAGCGCTAGGGGAAGATCCTTCCTTGTCTCTTTCTGCTTCTGGTGGCCCTGGACATTTCTTGGCGTTTCTTTGGTTGTAGACAGATCCTCATGCAATGTCTTCCCCCTGTGTGTCTGTCCTCTTATAAGAAACTGCTCAGAAGGGATTAGAATTAGGACCCACCCTACTCTAGTATGACCTCCTTTAACTTAACTGATAAAACATCTACAAAGAAAAACCGTATTTCTCCAAACAAGGTCACATTCACTGGTACAGGAATTAGGACTTCAACATATCTTTTTTGGAGGACACAATTCAATCCATAAAACCATCTTTCTCTTCTATCTTCATTGTCTGCATCTCTCCTAGGTCCTTCCACTCTAACCCAGTTAAAAAACAAAATACTTTGACTTTACAACCATCTCTCTCTCCTATGCTTCTCAGCCACTTCTTTACCTCCTGCTGAGTCCTCAGTCCACTACAATGTAGCTTCGGTCCCTACTTCTCCATTGGCGCATCTCACACCAGCATCTCCAATGATTCTTACAAATCCAGCAGAAGCCTTTCAGTTCCTATTTTACCTCTCAGCAGCATTTGACATAACCAATCACACTCCTCCTTTTGAAACATTCCTCCCTTGCATTCCATGACCCCACACTCTTCCACCTACCATTGTGTTCTTTCTTTCTCAGTCTTTGTGAGATTTTCTTCCTCACCTCACCCTGGAAATGCTGATGTGGCCCAAAATTCTGCCCTGGTCTCTTTTCTTACTTACACCATTTCTGAGTGACCTTATTGATCACTGTGACTGATCCTTCCATCTCTATGTCGATGACTTCACAAGTACAGGTGATCCCTAGTCAGTGGCCTGTCTAGGGTATTTCACTGGCCCTGGGTGTGTGGCGCTGCTGAGCAGTTTGGAGCAGTTTGGTACAGCCATCGGCATATCTATGGAAAATGGCACCTATGGCAAGCGCCGAATTTGCACCCTTGTCCCAACAGCTGACACCCATCTTTCAGATAACTTTACCATAATATCAGCTCAAAAATACAAGTCAAGCTCATTAATTTTTTGACTAACACTTTACCATGCTAGAGGAAGGACATTGGGCCATACTGGGTTAATAGAAACGGTGTCTAGGACAGGTGCAATGCTTGCCATACCTTAGATACGCTTCTGTCCCTAGATCTTTCTCCTTAGTTTTATTTATTGTTTTAGGTCTGTCAATTTTGCTTCATGTGTTTTGAAGCTCTGTTCTTAGTGGATGAACACTTAAGATCGATATGTTTTCTTATGGAGTTAACCCCTTCATCGATATAAAATGTTGTTGTTTATCCCTGGTGATATTGTTCTGAAGTCTAGTTAGTATGATTAATATGGTCACTTCAGCTTTCTGTTCTTAGTGTTTGCATGGCATATCTTT